AGCACTGCGGTCACTGCTGCTTTAGTCCACTGAGCTATCTGGCTGGCCTTTAAACCTCTTTGCTCTTTTTTTTTAGAATAATTTTTTTTTTTTTTTTAACATTTATTTATTTATTGTGTGTGTGTGGCCAGCTCAGCCCTCCAGGGGGCGGGGCTGGCTGGCATGTGGTGCTGGGGGATTGAACTGTGGTCCCTGTGCTTTGCCAAGCTTGTTCCATGTAGGTGCTTTAGAGCACTGAGCCATCTCGCCAGCCCCTCCAGTCATTTTAATACAATGGGATTTACCTTAGAGAGCAGCTAGGAATCCCCTACTTTCAGAGCCTTCAATTCACCTGCACTGACTTCAATAGTAAAGGTTAGAAAGAAAAACTGGTCTAAAGCTTCTCTGTGAGCTCTGTGTCTGGGGACTGCTCCAAACCAGAAGGTCCTTGGCTTTTCATGTTGGCTCATCCAGGAGCCCTGTTTCTTCCCTCCCTCAACCCTAAGTCCACCTGGGTAAAGCCTCCAAATTCAAGGAGGAGCCCTGGCTGCCAAAGGAAGCCCAGGCTCATGCTGTAGAGCTTAGACTAGTTTTCTTCAACTAAAGTACCCCAACTTGCATGATGAAAGTGAAACAAAACAAAAACTGGCTTTTTCTTTGCTACTTTCTGGTCAGCATTCTCTCCCTTCAGCTTCTGGAGTTTGTGATTGATTATCCTGGGGCAGGTAATCTGCATTACAATATAAGGAGGGGAGAGAGGCTAGTCAGCTGCAGGAGCTGCTGCCACTCTCTTTTTGTTCTTGTTTTTGCCACTGTCCTGAACAGCTGCTTTCTGACATGTGCTACTCTGCCTTGGAGCCAGCAGGGTACGGACTGAATCCCCCACTAACCGTGAGCTAAACAACCTTTTCTTCTTTCATTTTGGGTGTTAGGTATTTGTCCCAGCAAGGAGAGAAGAGTAACCGTGACAGCTACCACCATGCCCAGCTGTTTTTTTTTCTTTTTTAATGTATTTGGTTGTTGCAGGGTCTCACTATACAGCTTGGACTTGTGGTGACCCTTCTGCTTTCAGCCTCCCCAGTGCTGGGATTACAGGTGTGCTCCACTATGCCTGGACTCTGGCCAGCTCAGCCAGCCCTGGGAGCAGAGCTGGTGCAGCATGTGGGGCCGGGGATAGAACTGCAGTCCCTGTGCTTGCCTAAGCTTGCCTAAGCAGGTGCTTTAGTCTGCTGAGCTATCTCCTGGGCCCCCAGCTGTGTTTTTATCTCTAAAAAGATAAAAATATTCAATTAAATAAAAAATTCAATTTTTGATTACACTTTAATAGTTTTACTTGATGTCAAAGTTCAACACCACTGGGTCCATTATACCACTACACTAAATTAAATGGGACCAGGTAGCTCTTGCCCTGTATCACAGGTTTTGCTTCACAAAATACTGTAAATGATTATATAATAGCTTGGCATAGCAATGCATACCTATAATCCCAATACTCTGGAAGTGGAAGCAGAAGGATTGTGGGGAGCTCAAGGTCAGCCTGGGACTGGATAGTGAGACCCTGTCTCACAAAACCAAAGGAAAAAACAGGAAGAAAATTATTATTATTATATTTTTGGTGGAACTGGGGATTGAACTCAGGCCCTTGTGCTTGCCAGGGAAGCGCTTATTCCACTGAGCCACCTCCCTGGCCCCAGGAAGAAAATTATTTAAGAAATAAAATTCTCATGATCAATATATGTCGCATGTATGTACAAAAATATCACACTGAAGCCCAATGTTTTTTAAAATTAAGAGATGTTAATAAAAATACACTGTACTAAAGAAATAAAAAAGCCTCTGGGATCTTCTTTTACCAGCAACCTCAGTAATGCAATGAGCTGCAAGGAAATGGACACATTATAAAGCAGACTGCTACACGATCCTTCTCAGGTTCAGCTGACAAGGAAGTGCCTGAGTAAAGAGCCACAGCACTGAGACAATATCCTGACGAGTCCTCAGGGAAGTTCCTGGGGTCACTCATATCCTAGGATTGTGACTGGGCAAAGGATGGGTCCATACTGCAAGAGTGGGCTACCTGCATAGTGCAACAGCAGTGTAGAAGCAGCCAAGAGAGTAGGACAGCTGATACTTGCAGATGCATAAAGTCAGAGAGAGGAGTCTATGGTGCCTTCTGAAATGGTGAAAGACAGAAATGATCTCAGCTGCACACTGGGAAGCTGTCAATTCCCCTCCACACCCACATCCCCAGTAGTTACTCCAAATTGGCAACTTAGGGGGAAGTGCTGGGGTGGCTCATCCTTTGACCACTGGAAGCAATGGAAAACCAGAAGGAAACAGAATTTCTAACCCAGACTCTTTCTTTGTGGTTTCTATGATTGGGTCCACAAGCAGGATAAGAGGGTGGACAGAACAGAGGGTGGACAGAAGGACAATGGCAGCAAGGGTGAAAACAGGTCTGCTGGTGTTTGGTGGTTCTGACATAGTGTTCTGCCTGCCACCTCACCTCACCACCACAGCTAGGAGCCCAGATAGCTTTGGGTCTGGGCCCATTCTTTACTGGAAATAACTAGCCTACTGCAAACACCAACTATTATGAGCCCAAGTAATGCAGTACAACACAAAAGTACTTTGTGAGAATGGCCAAAGGCTTCTTTATTACTAACCATAATGAAACTAGTGACACGTGTAGCCCATGTTTTCCTGACCTGGCATGTTTCTGCCTGGTCCTGGGTGCTAGGGACCTTTGAGAGACTTCTCCCTGGAAGACTTAAGAACCAGTTAAAGGAAGCTCCTCTCCTCCAGTGTCCCCTGAGCAGAGGGGCATGCTTTATTGAACTTGCACTCCCATATTGGAGGCCCACCTATGAGACAGGGACGTCAGCAGCTAGGTAGCTTGCAATCATGGTTTGGTACCAGTCACAAAGGCGAAGCTTCTTACCCTACTGACCAGACCTACTCTTCACGTGGGGGCCCCAGAAGCCCCTGAATTAGCTAGCCAGCCAGGGCATGGGGGTTGGGCTGGAGATGGCAGAGGGTGTAATTCTATAGGAAGAATGAAAAGATGAGGCCAGCCCTCATCAAAATGGTGAAGGAAGACTTTTTGGGGTCATTGTTGTTCAGATCCCATAACTCCCTGCCTCTTGGGGAATGTTATGATTTTTTTTTTTTTTTTTCTGTATTTTAGGGAAGGGTCTACAGGGTGTTCAGGGTCTCACTACTAGATTGTAACTGCAGTGATTCTCCTGTTTACAGTCTCCCAAGTGCTGGGATTACAGGTGTGTGCCACCATGCCCAGTCTCAATTGCAGTCTCTGAGTGCCCCGGAGGTGGGGCCAGCATGGTAGGCCCAGGGATTGAATCCTGGGCCCCTGAGCCTGCTTGCAGGTGCTTTAATCCACTGAGCTACTTGGTTGGCCCTAAGGGATGTGATGATATTGAAGTCAAGCTGCAAGCTTATGTGTAACTATGCTCATCACTTTAGGCCACAGTATGGTGGCTCAGGGCCTGTCTGCGCAGCACAGACACAGAGCACATGCGGTGTTTGCTCTGTGGCCCAGGTTTGCCACATATGGGCTAACAGTGACAGCAAGCTCACCGCCCCAGCTAGAGCATCACAGAAGATTTCCAATGCTCACCCTTGTAACACCACCAAGAGTCTGGTCTTCTTGCGGATGTAAGCTGACTGACGGGCAGAACGGTTCTGTTGGGCCTCCAGAGCACTGGAAAGGTATTTCTGGAAGTGCGCAGCATGAAAACATTCAGAGCTATCCATGATTTGGCGGTAAACCATCCACCTAGAAAGACCAAATGTAATCTCAGAACATGGAACACTCACAGGCTTGGCTCTATAAGCTCAGCCATGAATTCAAATGTAACTAGTACTCCCAAAGAATTTCTGATTGCTACTGGTCTTTTTTTTTTTTTTTTTTGGTACCAGGTATCAAATTTAGGACCCTGTGCTTGCCAGACAGGCACTTAAGCTGCCAAGCTATCTCCTTGGCCCATAAACACATTCTGCCAACTGAATTCATAAAGGAGAAAGCAATCTTGGAACTACAGAAAAAGAAGGTAGCACTTGGGAGTCTGAGGCAGGAGGATCACCTTGAGTCTGAGGCCAGCCTGGGCTACAAAGTGAGCTCAAGGCCAACCTAAACTGTATAGTCATATACTGTCTCCAGAAGACAAAAACAAAAAACAAAGAAAGAGTAGGTAAAGAGTTCAGAATGTGTGCATAATGAAAGGCCTACACCTGAGAAACTGGTTAGCCATTAAATACTTATTAAATGAAGTCCAGCATTTCCCTAGCATTTCTTCAGAACTCTCCTCCCCATCTCTCAACTCGCTAGGCAATTTCAATCTTTTAATTCTTCTATGGCCTCCTGCAGGATACTTACTTTGGAGTACACTAGCTACATATTAAACGTCTGGTTCAGTCAGCCAGGGCTGATTAGTAATCTGCCAGCCAGAAGTCATGGATGAGTGATTTTCCCCATTTTACCAGGGTCAGCACAGCCTCAATGCACCTGGGCGCATGTGGCCCCTACGTAGTTGCTTCCAGGTGTTTATAACCATCATGGTCATGACCTTGCCCACTGGCTAGCACACTCTCAGGTCTTTGTACCTGCCTCACCCTGCTACTACAATGCCACGGCACTGACAGCACATGGGTCATTCCCTTATTTCTTCAGGTCTTTGCTCAAGCATGTCACCTTTTCAATGAGGTTTTCTCTGACTGCCCAATTTAAATCTGGAACCCAGCCTGTATCCTTTTTTTTTTTTGATATGAGATCTGACTATACAGTTCAGACTGACCTTGAACTCAGTATATAGCCCAGTTGGCCTTGAACTTGTGGGATCCCCTCCTTCACCCCTCCAGTGCTTGAACTGATCACAGGTGTGTACCACTTCCCCTGCTGCAGCCTGTATTTACTATACCTTTCTCTGCTTTATTTTCTTTATGCACTCCCCAAAGCTAAATGTAAGTGCTATGAAAGCAGATATTCTGGTCTGTTCTGTTTTTCAGTGAATTCCCTCAGTCAGAGCAGTGCCTGGCATACAGGAAGCATTCAGCACAGTGTGTTAAGCAGCTGGCTGGATGAATAACTACTGAAGGCTAGTACATGTCTAAGGTTTCCTCATGCCTAGCCAGGCCTAGGCCCAGAACCCCTGTCCCCAAAGCAAAGACAGTGACCACACTAACCTGCCATATTCCTTATGCAGAGTGACCAGAAAAGCACAGAGCTCACTGGCATGACAGCCTGGGAGTCCAGTGATAATGCTGATGATGACCTGCATAAAAGAAGCCACATAGGTTTGCAATCCAAGTGAGAGGCCGTGGGCTGGCCAAATCGCTCAGTGGATTAAAGCCCCAGCAAGCAGGCACAGACGCTGGGGTTCGATTCCCGGGGGCTATGCCCCTGGGGCCCACTGAGACGGCAATTGAGACTGGACGTGGTGACACACGCCTGTAATCCCAGCTCTTGGGAGGCTATAAGCAGGCGGATCACAAGTCCGGTCTAGTAGTGAGACCCTGAACACCCTATACACCCTATACCTTTCTGTACAATACAAATAAATAAGTAAGTAAAAACAAGTGAGAGGCAGCACTGTATAGGGAAGATACTGACTTCTGGAGGGAGGCTCTGTGGGCTTGAACCTCAGCACTATCACTCACCAGGACTGTGACTTTGGACCATGATAGATGCTAACTTGTAGAGAGGGATTAGGAACCGCAGAGTAAACTTACCTAACGTGCTTACAAGAGGGCCTGGCCCAGAGCAAATACCACATAAAATGCAGCCTTACTCTTTACTTTCAGTGTAGCAGGTTGTGATATACGAGTTAAAACACACTGTGTTAAAGAGCATGCCTGAGTTCACACAGCTCTTCTATAAAGGAGAATTTAAGGATATTATGACTTCTTTCCAACAGAATACTCCTTAGAAACATACTTGGCAGAAAGGTCTGGGACAAAAACGCCTTGGGCCATGTTGGTGTGCGAGCAGGGCAGAGGATAGGAGCTGCACTGGGATACTTCTGCCAGGCTGCCTGCGCGGTCTGAAACACATGGCCTGGGCTGAGTTGAAAATCCCTGGGTCTGGGTAGCACTCGTGATTCTTGAGGAGAAAAGCTACCCGGATGGTCCTCAGCTCCTTACACGATCACTCAGAAACAGGTCCTTGGGAGGTGTCTATTCCAAAGCCCTTTAAGAAAGGCATTGGTCAGGCATGGTGGTGCATGCCTGTAATCCTAGCACTCAGAAGGCTGAGGCAGGAGTGTGTGGTGAGTGAGAGCATTTTACATTCTGTACTGTGATTTCAAGGCCAACCTGAACTGCACAGCAAGACCTTGTCTCAAAAAACAAACATGGGCTGGGGAGACAGCTCAGTGGTCTGTGTCTGCCTGGCAAGTGCTACCAAAATACAAACCAAAACACCAAATAAAAGTCACCAAATTTAGATAATTAAATGCTGATATTTTGTACTCTGAGTAACCAATTTAAGGATAATAACATGCAATGAATTAATCATTGTTACCCTCCGATTATCTAGTTTTTTTTGCGGAACTGGGGATTGAACTCAGGCCCTTGCACTTGCCAGAGAAGTGCTTATTCCACTGAGCCATCTCCCCGGCCCCACCCTCCGATTATCTTGTTTGAAATTTTTTTTCTCTTTTGTTTTGGTACGAGGAATGGAACTTAACCTTGCACTTGCTAGGCAGGCACTTGTGCCACTGAGCTATACTGGCCCTTATTATTATTATTTTTTTGTTTCTTTTTAAAATTGAAAAAACGGGCCAGGGCGATAGTTCATATTTCAATAGGATAAGCGCTTGCCTGGCAAGCACAGGGTCTTGAGTTCAATCCTCGATCCAAGAAAAAAGAAAAAAAGAACAAAACAAAACAAAAAACAAAGTCACCAAAAAAGAAGGCATCCAGCAGAGGACAGGAACCATGCAAGTGCTGAAGGATATTTATGCTAATGGCAGAGCATGGTAGGGCATATATATATTTTTATGTATTTGGTACAGGGTCTCGCCACACAGATTGGACTTGTAGTGATCCTCATGTTTTCAGCCTCCCCAGCTCTGGTATTATAGGCATACACCACTACCACGCCTGGACTTGGTGGCTGGCTCAGTGCACACTGGTGTGGGGCCGGTGCAGCATGTGGTGCAAGGGATCAAGCCTCGTTTCCCGTGCTTGCCTAAGCAGGCACTTAGTCTGCTGAGCTATTTTGCCAGCCCTTTTTGTTGTTTTTGAGACACGGTCTTTCACTATGCACTTCAGGCTGGCCTTGGAATCACTAAGTAGCCCAGGCTGGGCTTGAACTCCTGGTAATCTTCTCACTTCAGCCTCTCTAGTGCTGGGATGACAGGTGTGCACAACCATACCCAGCACTGGTATATGTTTTATTTCAAAATACACAAGACTCACCAAGGCATGGCCAGTCACAGAAACTTAAACTGAACTAAGCCTGGAGCACTCATCACCCAGAGTGGCTCCCACTTCTGCTAGGGGCACTTGGCGCTTGTGCTTGTTCTCTGACCAGGGCTTCTATACTGCATGCCCCTGTTCTCTAGGCAGTTCTCATGTAACTGACACTTTGTTTATCCTGCCCCTCATCGAGCATCCTCCATCTTGGTTCCAGTTTCTCAGTGCCCAGGCATCAGCCCCTCAAATCACTGCATACATGAGCACAGCGAGGTACTTTCTTATGGCCAGTCCTATAGTATCTTTTACATAAAATTTAACAAATTTCCATTGTTAACCTTTTTACCTGTACACATAAGGGAAAAAATGGTATTTCTAATTGTTTAGTCCATCTGTTTCCTTTTGCAACTAAGTGTCTTCTAGATTTGTACAGAAATAAATGCCCTCTTTGAATCTATTATGATATATATCTCCCAAAAAATGGTGGGAGGAAAGCATGAGGTAGGAATAGATTAAAATCCATTGTGCAAGGCTAGTGAGGTGGTGCATATCTATAATCTCAGGACTCTGGAAAGCTGAGGCAGGAGAATTACAAATCTGAGTCCAACTGGGACAACTTAGACCATATTTTAAAATTAAAAAAGCCTAGAGATGTAGCTCAGTGCAAGGATGCTGGGTTCAATATCCAGTACTACCTTCCACCATCCTGCTGCCCCCAAGAGATCACTTTGGAAAGGATAAAGTTTATCTAGAGATTCATCTTACTCTGGTCATTCTAGCCAGGTTGGCATAACAATAGTATGCACAATGTGCCATCCACTGTTGGGTATGGTAAATCCTAGTCACAACCAGAATGAGATGATGGTATAAGGGCACTAAGTAAAGTGCAAGAGACATAGAGAAGGGGAGGGCATTGCAAAATGTCGGGGTTTATTGTGTCACAGGGCTTGGCCTGACACAGTTGTATGGAGTGGGTTTTGTGTGTTGTCTTACATCACTATCTAAGGAGGTGGACAGACTTATAAAAGGGATTCCACCTAAGCTTTTTTTTTTTTTTTAATTTATTTATTTATGTGTGTGTGGCCAGCTCAGCCCACCAGGGGGCGGGGGATTGGTGCTGGGGGATTGAACCGCGGTCCCGGTGCTTTGCTAAGCTTGTTCTAAGTAGGTGCTTTAGATCACTGAGCCATCTCACCAGCCTCCACCTAAGCTTTTGTTAACTGACACAAAAGATCTAACATCCAGGCTTTCAGGGTTATCCTTCTGTGAGTTCCCAGCACACTAGTTGAGCTCCTCTACCTTGTCATTCTCTACTCTGTGAGAAGGGCTCAGTTCTGCTTGCTGCAACAGGACAGGAAGATGGGTCCGCATCACAGGCTCCCGACTAATGCTGCTGAAAGCAAAATGCTGGAGAAACCTGGAAAAACAAAGATAGTGCTATTAAGTTACTATCACTAGCCTTGCCAGATATGCCAAAATACAGGAGCAGATTTTTTCTCTTATGCATTTGGTGGAGGGTCTCACTATGTAGATGAGACTCATAGTGATCCTCCTGTTTTCAGCCTCCTAAGCACTGGGATTACAGATATATGCCACTACACCCAGTCTCAATGGCTATCTCAGTGTGCCCTAGGGGCGGGGCACATTCTGCGTTCTGCCTAAGCAGGTGCCTTAATCCACTGAGCTATCTGGTTGGCCCTGATGAGCAGCTTCTTATTGCTGAAAAATAAGTCTTAGAAAGGTTCTCTCTAGTGAATACATTTTTGTTTTGTTTTGTTTTTTGAAAGAGGGTCTCACTAGGTAGGTTCAGGCTGGTCCTGAAAACTATGTAGCCCAGGCTGGCCTTGAACTTGCAGAAATCTGCCTCGGCCTCCCGAGTGCTGGGATTACAGCTGTGCACCACCGTGTTCTACTCTGGTGAATAAAATTTTATATGGTTTGCCACTACTACTTTTTATAAGAACCCCTAAGAAGGTATAAAGAAAAAGGAATTTACACAGGACCAACTGGAGGTTTCTGACATTTCAGAGCTGGCACTTTAGGCATTGAAAGTCACACACAGAGGACTCACCAATCCAGCTCTGGGAGCCTGGCTAAGAGCAGCTTTAGAGAACTCCACTTCTCCCCCGAGGGATGACTCAGGGCAGCGAAGAGCTTCTGTGCACTGGAGTGCCTGGAACAGCAAAAGCTCACAGGTTATACAGTCCCTCCTTGTATAACACACTGCTCTACAAAGCTAGATCAGAGGCTTTCAAGCCAGAGGCCTGTGATAGAGCTGACTTAAACATAATGTGGCAATGGTGCCTGACAACTCGCATGGCCACAAAGGAATGTGGTCCCAAAGCCCTCACAGTAGTTACTTTCTGATTCCCAGTGCAGTCATCTTTTCATCTTCTGTTTCCCCCAGGGCACTGGCTACTGGCAAGCTGGCAGCACAGAAACAACCACTGGTCTCTCCAGAAGCCAAAAGCCCTACATTACATAAGGGGAGGCATCCTGCAGAGAGCACGCCCACAGCACAGGGAACCAAGCAGAAGCAATGCAGGCAGCCACTTACAATCTCTTTTGTTCCACAGTTAATCCACGTTCCTGGATCACTTTTAAAGACAGCCCTGAGGTATCCTGCTGTTGCCAGGGGGAGAAGACCTAAACAAAACAGAGTTTGAGCAAATAACACACTTTAAATCCAACAACAGGATATGGAATCCACATGGGGATTTGATGGTTGTTGAAAACTTAGACTATCAGTGAAGAGAAAAGCCATTATAACAAGCAAGTTTGTTTCAAAAAATAAGGCCAGAAGCAATTCTGTCTTATGTGTTTCAAAGCCAAAACCATCTTTCTGGATTCCTCTCCTTAGGGAGGAAGGTGTCAAGTAACACTCTCTGGCAACCAGGGCAAGCTCTTCCCTGCTGACAGGGTCAGGCACTTCCTGTGTCCGCAGAGGGATGGCTGAGAGAATGCAAGTCTGTCTCTAGATTCTCAGATGAAGAGCCTGTCTGGAAGTTCTAGCAGGCGGTCCTCTTCTATTAGAGTGGTCATCCTCTTTGACAGGTGTATGGCTTCAGGAGGGATATGCATGGAGCGATGAGGGATAAAGGGACACTGCCAGTCAAACCAACCCTGGTGGTCAATGGAGTGACAGATGTCACAGTCAGACTGCCCTCACATCCATAGGTTCCCAGGTTGAAAGGATAAGCACAGAGAGGAAGGAAGGCTTCATGGGCAGTAATGGGCTGAGAAGTCACTCTGCAGCCAAAATTAGTCTTTCTCTCTATTCTGTGTCTGTCCTGAGGGAGAGACACTGCCCCTGACTAGCTGCTGCAATCATACCTTTCCAAGAACTGCCACCTGTCATGAGGCTGGCACCAGCCTGACTCTGGCTACCGCTTGGTCTGTAAGTGGGTCGTGTGATTCTTGGGCAATCCTTCTCTTGTGTAAGCACTTTTACTGGACAGACAGCCTGCCAGTGGGACCATCTGCAAGGGCAGGGACTCTGAGCCCCAGGGAAGAAGACATGGGCTTTGGTACAGAGCCTTAGGTCGGACCCACGACTCAGTAAGACAGCTGAAAGGTAAATAAGGCTAACTGGTGTTTAAAGGGGAAAAAACTTTTCCTTAAAAGTCTAAAGAGATTTTGTTCAGTTTTGTTTGTTGTATTTTGGTAGAAACTACGGATTAGAGCTGAGTGTGATGGCACACCTATAATCTCAGCATTCAGGGGGTGGAGACAGTATAGTGAATTCCAGGGCAGACCGAAATACAGTGAGAGCCTAGTTCTTTTTTTTTTTTTTTTTAGAACTGGGGATTGAACTCAGGCCCTTGTGCTTGCCAGGGAAGCGCTTATTCTACTGAGCCATCTCCCTGGCACTTTTTTTTTGGCAGAACCAGGGACTGAACTCAGGCCCTTGCACTTGCCAGGGAAGTGCTTTTCTACTGAGCTATCTCCCCGGCCCCAATCCTAGCTCAAAAATACCCTCCCCAACCAAAAAACCTGAGGATTATACTCAGGGTATTACATGTATTAGGCAAGTGCCCTTTCACTTTTTTTTGCATATGTTAAACCAGTACTCTTCTTGTTTACTGATTGATTGAGATAGGTCTTACTATGTAGACTATGTAGTTCAATTCAGACTGGCCTTGAACTCACTATGTAACACAGGCTAGTCTCAAATTCACAGCAATCCTCCTGACTCAGCCTCCCAGATACTGGGATTATAAGTGTGCACCACTATGCCCAGGCATTTTCTTTTTCCCTGCAGTACCAGGGATTGAACTCAGGGCTTTGTGTTTGCCAGGCAAGCATTTATTCTACTAAGCCCCCACTTTCATTTTTGAGACAGGATCTTACTGTTGCCTGGGCCAGTCTCATTTTTTTCTTTTCTTTACTTTCTTTTTTTTTTTTAAATGTAGTTAGTACAGGGTCTACAGGGTCTCACTATACAGATCGGACTTGTAGTGATCCTCCTGTTTTTAGTCTCCCAAGCACTGGGATTACAGATGCACACCATCATGCCCAGTCTCAATCACTGTCTCAGTGCACCCCAGGGCAGGGCTGGCACAGCACACCAGGGATCAAACCCTGGTCTCTGTATCTGCCTAAGCAGGTGCTTTAATCTGCTGAGCTATCTGGCTGGCCCTGGTCTGTTTCTGATCCTCTTGCCTTAAGCCTTCCAGCAGTTTGGTCAGTTTCTTTGAGGTCTCACCTCACTGGAAAGGGTACCATTCCAGAATCCAAAGGGATTACTGAGGCCGCCACTCCTTCCCTTCAGCCCTTGCTACGCTTGCTCTTATCATCTCACTGTTAGCACCAAGACACTGTCTTACCATCTAAATTGTTACGGGGAAAACTGTAGTAGTTGCTTTATGGAGTAATAACTGGTATTACCTCTGAGTAAAATGCTTGATATATCTTTGATTTTGGAAAAAGGGCAATCATCAGAAAATTGCCTGATCCATGGAAATGAACTGGCAGGTAGGGAAGCAGTGAGCTTTTGAAGTTGATGAGAAGGGCAGCCACAATGCTGGTGGAATCCTAAAGAGAAGAAGAGGAACATCAGTGAGAAAAGCCACTTCTTTGGGCCTAGTCCTTGTAGCTAGTGTCAGAACACATGGGCAGCAGTGTCAGGGCAAGAGTGCATCGAGGGGCAAGAGCAGATGTACTTTCCACACTTGGTTACTTGAGAGACGGGCAGTACAGGGGTCTTTGTCCTACACTGACAATGACGTTTTAAAATTCCTTTCAGGGCACTAATCTTTTATCAGATGTATGATTCGCCAATATTTTCTTATTCTGTGGGTTGTTTTTCTTCCTGAAAGCATCCTTTGATGCACAGAGGTTTAAATTTTTTGTTTTTGTAGTACTGGAGATTGACCATAGGGTCTGTGAGTCAAGCACCACCAAGGAGTATCTCCAGCCCTTTTTCTTTTTTGCTCCGCATGCCTTAAGGGCAGGTTTGGCTGACTTGAGTTGTGGGGATCGAACTGCATCAACCTGAGCCTGACTGCTTTGTTGAAGCAGCCACTTAAAGAACTAAGCTAAGGGGCAGGCCCCCCAGCCCTTTTTCTTTTTATCAGATGGTCTCATAAAGTTGCCAAGGCTCGGCTCACACTTGTTATCCTCCTGCCCTGACCTCCCAAGCAGCCAGAATTACGTGCATGTACTATCATGCCCAAATAGGATTTAAATTTCATTTTGTCTTTTTGAGAAAGGGTCTTGTTATGCTGAGGCTGGCCTTGAGCTCCATTTGTAGCCCTGGCTGGTCTTGAACTCAATGACCCTCCTGCCTCAGCCTCCCAAGTGCTGGGATTACAGGAATGTGTTACCCATGCCCGGCACGATTTAATTTTTTTTCCTGGTACCTGGAATTGAATCAAGGGCTTTTGCATCAAGCCATAGCTTAGGCCTTTATTTAAATAAATTTTAAAGAGAATTTTGCTAAATTGATAACTTGCCCAGGATAACCTCCAATTTGTGATCTTCTTGCCTCAACCTTCCAGAGTGCTAAGATTACAGGCATGAGCCAGGAATATCTGTATCTTGCTTGTTGTGATGGTGACTGCATGAATTATACACCTGTTACAGCTTTCAATGGACAGATAGATTAGCTGTATTTAAGGTATACTTCATGGGGGAGAGACAGCTCAGAGCACAAACTCCTGCCTGGCAAGTGCAAGGTCCTGAGTTCAATCCCTGGTACCAAAATGAAAAACTATACTTCAATGATTGCTTTCCTTTCTTTTTATCTTTTCCTTTTTTTTTTTTTTTTTTTGCGTACAAGAATCTCACTATGTAGCTCAGGCTGGCCTTGAACTCACTAGGTAGTCCAGATTGGCCTCAAGTTTACAGTGTTTCTGGAGTGCTGGGATTACAGGCATGCATTGCCGTGCCTCACAGCTAAGGTTTTTATTTAACAGGGCCAATTGATCTGCCTGCAATTCTGAACTCATTAAGAAGACAGGTTTTACATGAAAGAAAGACTTGCTCATTAACTCATCTTCTGAGCAATCTGACCAGAATAGCCCATCTCATTTGTTCTGGCTTGTGGCTCGATTTTGGGCTGAGACCAGGGTCAATGGAAAGCCTGCCCTCTGCTGCTCTGTCCCACTGGGAGGTATGCTGTGTCTGCCAGTGAGTACAGGCTGGGGAAACTCAAAGCTATTCTTCCCAAAAGGGGAAGAATGATACTAGGGCTGGTGGATTCATGAAACTAGATATTAAGCCTGAGTACATGCCAGGGAGGTGGGGCTAAGCCACATGGGAGGTTAGCCACTTCCCCATCTTTGGCCCCTTTATAGTCCTATCTGTAGGTCAGAGACTGCCTGTAAGGAGCCACTGAGGCTTCTTCAGTCTACCTCTTTGTACTCTTTGGGATGAATGGCTTGGGCATGGATACTTGCTGGCAAATGCTGAAGCACTGATTAGGCAAAAGGACTGCAAATTCAAGTCCCAAGCTGGGCAATTTAGCAGCTAAGACTCTGTTTCAAAATAAAAAAGAGCTGGAGATGAAGTTCAGTATAAAGGCTCTGGGTTCCATTCCTAGGACTGCAAAAAAGAGAAAAAACTATATGTAAAACTTTCTGATCTCCAAAAGCCATGAGCTACCTACCCCATCATAGAAAGAAACAGAATTCATGTGATCCTTAGAAATGATGATATTTCCATGATGGCGGTGAGAAAATAAAAGGCCACCGGAGAAGAAATGCACATTCCCTGAAAGGAAGAGAAAAAGAGCTATCAGAGACGGGGAGATGAGTCTTGGGGGCCAGATTCTAATATCCTTCTTCAGACACCAGAGTGCTAACTGCAGACCAGCGTCAGTGTTATGGCTTATATTAAGATGTCCCCTTAAAGCCTCATGTGTTTGTAAGTGGGGCTTTTTCAGAGGTGGCTGGATCTAGATTTCATAGGGAAATGCTACGACCAAGGGCACTAGGATTCAGGTGTGGGTGCTACCTGCCCAAAAGGCAGAGCCCGGATACAATATAAGGGACAGAAAGAGACCTGCTGCTAGTTACTTGCAGTTTTTCACTAGCTTGCTTTTGCTGTCTTCTGCATGCCATGAACTGTTTTCCTCTGTGATGCCTCTGCCATGCACCCTGCCTTAGGGCCAACTAATCATTGGCTGAAATTTCTATAAAATGTGAGCTTAAATAAACCTTTCTTCCTTTAATTTTGGGTACTGGTTATTCTGTCTCAGCAATGAGGAAAAGGCAGTCACAGAGCCAACATTACCCAACTTCTACACTGAGCCCTGTGCTCTGAGGAAGTCAAAGTGACTTTTAAGCTTTGGAAAATGAGGCTATGGATACAATCTTTGTAAAAGTATTAGAAAAAAAATAAAAGTATCTGAACTATCAGCTTGCAAGGGAAGACAAAAATCACATTCCCTTTTAGGTATCTTCTAAGGGAATACACTGAAAAAGACCGGATATAGAGTCTGCTCCATTCCTGAGCATACACTTTCTCCTTCCTCCTGATGCGACGGAAGCTGGCTCAGCTCTAGCGATCATGTCCCTCATTTAGGGCCCAAGACACAGCACCAGGGTATCACCTGAAGTCTCAGCTGGTGATGTGGCCAGCAAAGCAACATCTGACTTAGCACTAAGTGGATTACATGGACACTGGGCACTGCTGTCCTACAGTTTCCCAAACAAGATGGGTAGCAGGTGGACAGTGGGTGTGGGTTTCTCAGGCCAAGGATTCAGGTCTAAGGAGGGCCAATGTTTCTCAAAGGCACAATCACACGGAATAGCTCACCCTAGGGCCTAAAAAGGTGGCTAATTAAAACACAACACAAAAAAGACATACAGAACAAAACACAGACAAGATGGGTAACTAAGATGACAAAGATTAAGGCTTGCTCTGGAGCCTAGAGCACCCACTGGACCTTTGGGGAAGCTGCTCTTTGGAGCCATTGCAAGATTGCTGGGATTACAGATGTGTGCCACCACACCCAAAGGAAACACTCTTTTTTTTTTTTTTGGCCTTTTTGAGACTGGGTCTCACTATGCAGTTCAGGCTGGCCTTGAACTCACTTTGTAGCTTGCCTGGTTTTGAACTCACAAGAATCATCCTGCTTCAGTCTCCTGAGTGCTGGAATTACAGGCATGAGTCATCATGCTCAGCTGATAGTTTTTCATCTCTGCAAAAATTCTAAGAGGTGGCTGGGTATGGTGGTGCATGCCTGCAATCCTAGCACTCTGGAGGCAGGGGGAACCTAAGTAGTAGTGGGGCTGGGGAGATGGCTCAGTGGAATAAATGCTTCCCTGGCAAGCACAAGGGCCTGAGTTCAATCCCTGGTTCGGGGGGGGGGGGGGGGATCTAGGTAGTAGTAAGACTGTACTTGTGAGACTGTCTTAAACAATAAAAGATCTGAGCATTGAGCTCAGTATGAAGGCCTTGGGTATAATCCCCAGTACCACTTCCTTCAAAGTAAGAGATGGTATTGCTTTTTTTTTCTTGGAAAACAGAAGCTGCTTAGACTACGTTCCCTGCCTTGTACTCTTTCTGAGGAGAAGAATGCTCATTACTGGCAAATAGCAGTTGCAGTAAAGCAGCACCACGAGCCAGTTTCACACCTAGAAAGGAACAATATGCTTCTTCCCATGTCTTCTTGTGCACCACATGGTCAGTACAACTTCTCTAGTAATGGACTTGGAAAGGACCCCAAATGTACAGCCTTGACATTTTTCCTCTTGTAGGAATAATGAGGAAACCCATGCTTAGAGAGAGGTTTCCCGAAAAGTCACTTACTTGGTGGGAAAGCCTGGTAGAGAACACTGGCTCTCATGCACAACGCCACACTGGATCTTTGCAGTCTTCTCACTACTTTTCCCTTTCATTTTCTCCTGTCCTGGTCCCTGCATGGCCTATCTGATGTACATACAGTCTGCCTCTTTGGCCTCAACAGGCCTCATCTCCTGCTACCAGCTGCAGAGACCACAGCAACCCATGGCTTCCAAACTTCTCCTAAACTGTAACCTCCTTAATTCCTGAAAAGAGGCCCTCACGGAGCCATGAAACAGAAACTGTCCCCCATCTACTGCTGGTGTCTGTTCTGAACTCACCCTCTGCCTAAGCACCTTTGAATTAAAGCTGCTCAGAAACAAGTTTAGGACCACTGGAGGGCTTCTTGAACCAATGCAAAATACTTCCAGAGCTTTTAGAAAAGAGCATTGGAGAAATTGTTGCATTTCACTTCCTCACGGGGAAGGATGGAAAGGGGTGGTTGAGGGAGGTTATCCCCATAATGATTTTTATTCAGTGTCCATGAAAGTACTGTATGTAAAAGCTACAAAGGTTGTTTAAAGAAGAAGACCAAAGCAGGAACACCAACACCCCGACTCCTAGGCATATGCTACCTGGCCTAAGAAATCACGCATTGCTTGTACTTTTGCAGCCCTCTGCATGTCCTTTCTCAGTGCACAGGAACTTCCTTTCAACCCACAGGAAACTAATATGCTCAATTCAAGTACGTGCACCCATAAACTACACATTAGTTTTGTTTTTGCTTTCATACATATGGAATCTTAATCATTTGTCCTGTGACTTTTTGACTTGTAACATTCTGTTCCTGATGCCATCTATGTTGTAGGTAACATGTAGCTGTATAATTCATTCATGCTCAGTGTAATGAACTTTCTTTATTAACTTTTTCTTTTCTTTTGGTGGTACCAGGGATTGAACTCAGGACCTTGTGCTTGTCACACAAGCACTTATTCCACTGAGCTATCTCCCCAGCCCTTTCTTTATTAACTTTATTTTTCTGGCATACACTAAGCAAATACTCTAATACTAAGCTACATCCCCAGCCTGAGAACTTTCTGTTTTAAAGCGTCCTCATCTAGGTGTGGTGGCGCACTCCTGTAATCCCAGCGCTTGGAAGGCTGAGGCAGGGGAAAGAGAGAGAAAGGGAGGGAGGGGGGAGAAGGAGAGGGGGAGAGGGGGAGAGGGAGAGGAAGAGGGAGAGGGAGAGGGAGAGAGGGAGAGAATGAATTATGGGGTATGGAGCTCAACGTGAATGATCTAGGTTTAATCCCCCATACTGAAAACAAATACTGAACTAAGAACTACCAAAGAATTAAGGAATAAATAGCTCAAATCTCCTACATAACATTCCACATATAAAGGGATAAAAAGTATAAAATAATCTTTGGCTCAAAAATCCGATGTTGTAACTGGAAATTATGGGCCAGTGAAATAGCTCAGTAGACTAAGCACCTGCAAGCACAGGGACTGGGTTCAATCCCAAGCACCACAGGCTGCACCAGAGCAAGCCCCCTATAATCCCAGTGCTGGGGAGGCAGAAAACAGGAGGATCACTATGAGTCCGAGCTGTGTAGCAAGACCCGGTACCAAATACATAAAAATATTCATAACTAGAAATTATAGCTTTGCATGGTTACACGTGTATTCAACAGTCCCAGCTACTTGGAAGGCTGAGGCAGGAGGATCATTTGAACCCAGGAATTCTGGGCCAGCCTAGGCAACATACTGAGATCCTCTCTCTGTCTGTCTGTCTGTCTGTCTGTCTGTCCGTCCGTCTTTTTAAGACAGGGTTTCACAATGCACTTCAGGCTGTCCTTGAACTCTGTAGTGCAAGATGGTCTCGAACTCAGAGCAATCCTCTTGCCTTATCCTCTCAAGTTCTGGGATTACAGGCATTCACCACCATGCTCAGCTATGTCTCTTTTGAGGTAGAGTCATGCATGTAGTTCAGGTGCCTTCTGAATTCCCTTTTAGGTCAGGCTTGCCTTGAACTTGCAGTTATCATCCTGCCTCAGCCTCTTAAGTACTAAGTTTACAGACATGGGCCACCACACCTGGCATGAGATACTTAAAGAAACTAGAAATTAAAATACAAAAAAAGAAAATTAAAGCTAATATCGTATATGATACAATAATTTTTTTGGCTTTTTTGATGATGCAGTAATTATGACCAAATTATGAGCAAACCAACTCTAGCAAGAAGAAAAATTATACATATAATTATATACACACATACCATATACAGTAGTTCTTAACTACAGAAATGACTCTTGATGGCCTTATATATATATTTTTAAATCCCAGTTAAGTTAGTTCTTCCCATAAATATAGAATTGGCTTAACATTAGAAAAATCAATACATGATTTTTTTTACATTAACAGATTAAAGGTATAGATGGTGATTTTTTGTTGTTGTTTGTTTGTATTTTTGAGACAGGGTCTCATTATGTAGTTCAGGCTAGGCTTGAATTTACTATGCAGCCCGGGCTGATTTTGAACTCACGGCAATCTTCCTGTCTCAACTTCCCAAGTATTGCGATTATAGGTATGTGCTAGAAGATTATAAATTTCTAAGTGCAGGAAAAAGCATTTGAAGCTGGATTCAAGTGGCATGTGTCTGTTGTCCCAATTACCGGGGAGCTGAGGCAAGATCACTTGAATTTGGGAGCTGAAGGCCAGTATGAGCAACACAGCAGAATTCTATCTCAAGGGAAAGCTGGGTGTATTGGTCCATAATCCCAGCATTTTGGAAGCTGAGGCAGGAGAATCAGTTTGAGGTCAAGCTAAGCTACATAACAAGTTTTTTTTTTTTTTTTTTTTTTTTGTACTGGGGATTGGCCCTTGCTCTTGCCAGACAGGTGCTTATGCTGCTGAACTATCTCCCTAGTGCTACATAGTGAGTTTAAGGCCAGCCTGAACTATAAAGATATTAGATGTTAGATAGGAATAATATAAGGTTGCCTGTTGTCCCCATTAAATTTTTTTCTTTTCTTTTTGAGACAGGGTCTCACTAGGCAGTTTAGCCTGGCTTTGAGCTCACTTTGTAGCCAAGGATGGCTTCAAACTCCTAGCTATCCTCCTGCCTCCACCTCCTGAGTGCTGGGGTTATAGGCATGCCCAACCATGCCTGGCTTGTTTTGTTTTTTTGAGACACAGTCTCATTATGTAGCCCAGGGTGGCCTTGAACCTGTAGCAATCCTCCTACAGTGTGTGCCACCATGCCTGGCTCCTCAATGTGCTAGTCTGAGCAAATGAAAGCAAGATATAACCAATAAAAGAAATAAGAATTGGAAGGAAGAAATAAAGCCACCACAATTCATAGATTAAACTAGTACCCATAATATAAGATTCCAAAGAATCCAGATTACTAGAATCTATGAATAATTTAGAAGTTGGGGATATAGCTCAGTTATAGAACACTACTGAAAGTATGCATGAGGCTTTAGGTTCCATCTTCAGCACCAAACATACACAAGCATGTGTTTATACCCACAAGCCTCAGGCTCAGGGTTACAAAACCAATATATAAATACTCAATATAGTTCACGCTATAATTCTACTACAATCAATTACAATTCTAGATAAATTAGCGACAAAAAAAATAACTAAAAAAGATAACAGCAGAAGGATATAAAGTGAGAAAACGGCTAGGTGTATCGGCATACACCTGTAATCCCAGCATTTGGGAGGCTGACACAGGAGGATCATTGTGAGTTCAAGGTCAGGTGAACCACAGAGCAAGACCCTGTTTCAAAACCAAAAACAAAAATAGAGAAAATTGTAACACTGTACTGAAAGATTTTTAAAATTACACAGAAATTGTTTTAGACAGCTAAATTCAATAGAAATTTTTATAGGCAGTCAGACAGGGCCAAGCCCTCAAGGAGACAATATGGGGCCAGGAAGACAGCTCAGTAGAATAAGCGCTTGCCTGACAAGCACAAGGGCCTGAGTTCAATCCCCAGTTCCGCAAAAAAAAAAAAGAAAAAAGAAAAAGAAAAAAAGACAATATGGAAGACAAGGTGACTTTGCAACTATGGAAGAGACAGACACTCCTGTTCGTGGGCCAGACCTCAAGACAAAAGAATAAACAAATGCAGCCACTTACTTCTTTAGGGATGGGCATCAGGGATACTACATAGGTACCAATCACCTTGAAAGAGCCCAAAAGAGTCACTAACCCAACCTCCAACAGGAAGACCTTGTTCCTATTCATGCCTGCTTGCTATGTGACTCACTTCCTCATTTGTCTTGGATTTAACCAATTTTATCTGAGCAACGGTATTTATAATCTTCATTCTATAATCTTCATTCCTTGACCATAGTTTTGTCTCACCTCATGCCCACCTAATCAAATTCCAACCTTAGACCCACCTCACCACACAGTTTTACTCTATAAAAATTCCTGGAAGAGACAACTTCCTGGGGCAACCAGCATGAGGGCCCCCTTCTGTTCCTCTCTTGGACAGGAGCTTTCCTTCCTACAATAAATACATTCTGCTCTTATCCTCTGTAGTTCTTAAAATTCATTCTTTGATTTTAGACAACATGAACTCAGCCCAGGTATCTTTCAGGTTAGGAGTTTCATTCCCCTATGTCAATATCATGCTCACTGATTGGAAAACCAAAGCATTAAATTTTTAATTTTTCAGACAAGGTCTTACTATACTGTTCAGGCTGGCCTTAAACTCATTATATAGTCCAGGATTAGCCTCAAATTCACCAATGCTCTTGCCTCAGCCTCTTGTATGTTGAAGCTACAGGCATGCTTTGTCATTTTTATTGCAATCCTGTGCTAGTCTCAAATTAATATCACAATAACCTACATGAATCCTAGGAACATAATATCAAGAAAAAAAAAAAAGCCCCAGGAGATTATGTATGGTATGATTCTATTTGGATTCAGTTCAAAAGTGAGACATTGTTTAGGGATATAGTCATGTGTGGTAAACTCTAAGGCAAGTTCTTGAGGATTAGGTGCTGGGCAGCCTGCCTGGCCATGGTCAACAGGGCGTGGAGAAAAGGGCACATGAAGGACATGAATGAATGGGAAGCTGGATAACAAGAGGTCTCGTGATACCAGAACTCCAAAGTGGGGGAAGGAAAAATGTCTGGGGCTGAAGCAATTCAAGGTGAAGGAAATACTATTGTTCTCACCCATAAGTAGTCTAATGGGTGAAAAATAAGAAGCCCTACACTAACTTCCAGACCTAGACCATCCTGCAGATGCAGCCAAATTTACACTACAACCTCAGGCAACCTTTGGGCTTCTAAGGAGACTTAGGAATCAAAGATCAATCAAAACAAGGCATGCTAGGAATTTAAAATAAATGCTTTCAGAAGCAGGAAGAGGTAAATTTCAAACTCATCACACTTTCAACTAGAAGCAGATTTATCAAAACACTAACACTTGAGCTTCAGGATCCTTTACCTGCCCAGTCCTTTTTCACAGTTTGAAAAAGCCCAAATCATTTTTAAAAAAAAGGAAAAAAAAAAAAAAAAAAAGAAAGAAAAGAAAAAGAAAGTCCCTAAATAGTGTAAACCTCAAGTTGCATAAAACTTAGACAAGACCTGGTCTAAACCCTTAAAATGCTGGTTGCGGTAGAGCATGTATGTAAACCTAGCACTTGGGAGGCTGAGTAGGAGGATCATTGTGAGTTTGAGGCCAGCCTGGGCTCCACAGTGAGTTCAACACCAGGCTGACCATCTCAAAATTAAATAAAACCAAACCAAACCCCTCAGTTGTAAGATGCTTAATGTACAACTTGGAGAGACTTCTGGTTTTGGTCTCTGCTTCTACTATGGTCTTGCTCCAGAAAATTAGATTTCCCTTAGGAACTAAGAAAGTTTGAAATCTAAGCTCTTGAAAATATGTGACTAATGAAGTCCTAGAAATCTATAGCTGTGCTCTTTATTCTTTTTTGTTTTGTTTTTCTTCATTCTTATAGAGATATCCAGGATGCAATGACTATTGCTGGGTAATGAAATATAGTTTTCTAATAAGGCCCTTTGCTAAGAAGGTACAATCTAATTTTGGCAAGTATTCTTGCTAAATATTTTATCTGGCTTAAGGATGACAGCATAGAAGCACCTCTTGTGTTGTGACTACAACTTGCTTTCAAAACACTCTGCACTTTTGCTCCAAGGCAGGTAACACTGTCACAAACTGGATGACTTCCACAAATGTTCCACCCAGGTATTATGCACCAAGAACTGGAAAAGCAGAAATGAACACCCTGTTGTGGTATAGGAATCATAATGGCACCATTATCACCTCAGCATTTTGTAGATTAAAAACTAGAACTCCTTGTGTTTTGTTGTCTATGTGAATGGAGGAGCAGAACCAGTAATATGAGAAGAGGAAGAAGAATTTGCCACCAGATAAGAGTATGTTCAACAAGAAGAATAAATCACCCAGAAAGAGGATTTGCTTAGCAGAGGTTGAGGAATTTGCAGAGTAAGTCAGAACTCTTTTTTTCTTTTTTTAAAAAAATGTATTTAGTACACGGTGTACAGGGTCCCACTACGTAGATCAGACTCACAGTGATTCTCTTGTCTTCAGTCTCTCAAGCACTGGGATTACAGGCATGCACCCCGGCCCCTGTGCTCTGCCTAAGCAGGCACTTTAGTCCGCTGAGCTATCTGGCCAGCCCTTAGAACTCTTTCTTCATTAAAAAAAGCTATACCCAACAGGGAAAGAATAGGACTTACAGGAAAATGTTTGGGACTGGGGAGATAGCTCAGTGTTACAGTGCTTGCCTAGCATGCATGAAGCCCTAGGTACACAAGCAAAACACACACACACACACACACACACACACACACACACACACACACAGTTAATTCGAGGAAGCAAAAAGAACATGAAGTGAATTCCCATGAAACCCATGTAAGATGAACAAAGTTCTTGAATTTTCTATCAGCAGAGACACTGCCTTCTTGGACTGAAAGCGACAGAGCATGTACAAAACCGAAGAATGTTGATCATCTCCCAAAATTCTAAGAGCAAGAAGCAGGCTGATAAAACTGCTCAGCTGCAAACAAGGTGCTACCTTTCACAGAAGAAGGAAGGTTGATTGAGGCAGTGCCATAAGCCCACAGGGCAGAACTTTGATTCCAGAGTGAAACCAAGAATTCAAGAGTTTTGGTGAAATCAAGAGAAAAAATAGTGTGCTGGCTAGATAGCTCAGCAGACTAAAGTATCTGCTTAGGTAAGTGTAGGGACTAGGGTTCGAGGTGCAGGGACTAGGGTTCAATCCCCAGGCATGCCATGCTGGCCCTGCCCCCACCCTTGGGAGCTGAAAACAGGAGTCCAATTTGTGTAGTGAGACCCTGTAGGCCCTGATCGATCGGTCAGTCGGTCGGTCGGTCGGTCAGTCGGTCTGTCTGTCTGTCTGTCTGTCTGTCTGTCTACCTACCTACCTACCTATCTATGCACAAGTTTCCTCATTTAAAAAAAATGGGTGGATCAAAGGAAAACAGCTGTAAGAAAATGTTTTTACATCAACAGAGCCGAGCCATGGAAATTTATTCCCAGCCCTTGACTCCTAATCAAGGAGCTACTGTTTTGGAAAAGGAAGATGACTCAGAGAGCTGAACCAAGAATGAGGAAGGCAAAACCAAAAGGTAGGTACAAACAAGAGGGGGTAGAAATAAGAACCCAGAAAATAATTCCCAGGCTTTGATCCTAATCAGATACTTGTTATTAGTTCAGCTACATTTCTTTTTTAACTTTGTTACTTTTTCTAATTTAATTTTTATTTACACACAACAGTCATGGGGGATTGGTACATACATATGCTACCCCTCGGTCCTTTCACCTCCTTACCCTCTGCTCCCTCCCTCAGCTAGGTCTCACATCTGCCTTAAGCTGCTCATTCTCCTCACCTATTTTCTCCCCTTTCTGAACTTGAGGTCTGTAACTGTTACCCTATGCCAGTCCCACCTTGCACATGATCGCTGGGGGAAGGCAACTTGTCTTTTTAGTTTCACAGGTCCAAAGACAAGGAAAAGATGTGTGTTTAGGAGCTGATAAGATTAGACTGCTGAGCCTTGTCTACATGGGGTTTAGATAATCTCAATGATGAGACTGGGGATATCTGAGCCCATGAGATTTACAATTTTGAACTGTTATTATAAGAGAGAGGTGTGAATCATGAGGCCAAGGGGCATATTGATATGGGAGTGATTTCAAACAAGGATGCTGAAATAGAGAAGGTTCCAGGGCAAGGAACTCTTGGAGGACTTGAGGACAAAACAGTGGGATCTGGTGCACCAGTGGGAAGATTCTTCCATGGAGTCTCCAGGTAAGATCTAAGCCTGGCTGCCCCTTGACTTTGACCTCATGAAACCTGGGCCCACCCAAGCCTCTCAAGAATGCAACCCACAGAAGTATGAGATAATGAGTAGGTATTTTTTAAGCTATTAAAATAGGAGTAATTTGTTATAGAGCAGTAGAAAATTTTGTTTCAGTCTACAGATTTGATTCTGGAAATTCTGCTCCAGCCCATTCTGAGAGTGGAGACAGAAACAAGAGGACAGGGGCAATTCTGGACAAGCCCTTATGCTTTGAAACCTGCACAAGTTTCCTCATTTAAAAAAATGGGTGGATCAAAGGAAAACAGCTGTAAGAAAAAGTTTTTACATCAACAACCTTTTTTTTTTTTTGGTGGTACCGGGAATTGAACTCAGGACCCTGCGCTTGCCAGGCAAGCGCTTATTCTACTTGAGCTATCTCCCCAGCCCAAATCTTTTTAATAGCAGATGTATCATTAATCACAACACCCATACTAGTGTCTATAAACAAGGGACCCAGACATGCCATGAGTGGAAAAGTCTTATCTGTTTACCCTCCTCAGGCCAGGGCTGTAGATTGCTGGAATAAAGATATGCTCCTTCTCCTCCTGCTAGGAAAGTGCCCAGGAAACACTCATCCTCCTTAAAAACAGTAACAAAAAAGCAAGTGATTTATGGCATAAATACTCAGAGTTGAAAATCTTGTCCAATTTTGTCTGTCTAAAAAGCTGAGTCTAAAAAAATTAAATAAATAAAAATTAAAATAAAATAAAAGGCTGAGTCTGCCCAGCATAACGGGACACACCTGTAATCCCAGAACCCTTGAGGCTGAGGTATAACCAGCAAGTTCAAGTCCAGTGTGGGCAATTTAGTGACTTAGTGAGACTTTGCCTCAATAACAAAAAACAAAACCAAAAACAAAACAGAAGGGGAAAAGAAGTTACCTAGCTCTTTTTGGTCTTTTTCAAAACCAGTAACTTTTTTTATTTGTTGGTTTTGTTTTGGTTTCTGAGACAGGAGTTCACAATGTTCACAGCCAGTTCAGGCTGGCCTTGAACTCACTGGGATTACAGCATGCACCAGCCACACCGAGGTCCAAGTACTATTAAAAGCAAATCCCAGATTGGCCTCATCGTGTTAAGATGAGACATTAAATTTAGGGCAAAGCTGGGCATGGTGATGCACTTGTACGCTTACTTGCATATATTTGTTTGGTTTGGTTTTTTGAGGCTGAGTCTCAACTATGTAGTTCAGGCTGGCCTCAAACATACAGCCTCCTGAGTTCTGAGATTATGGGTGTGCATCACCATGCCCAGCTTTGCCCTAACTTTTGATGTCTCAGCTTGCCATGACAAGGCCAATCTGGGATCTGCTTTTAATAGTACTTGGAGCTGGGTGTGGCTGGTGCATGCTGTAATCCCAGCACTCAGGAAGCTGAGCAGAGAGCATCACTGTGAGTTCTAGGCCAGCATGGGCTACATAGTGAGTTCAAGGCCAGCCTGAACTACATTTCAAACACCTGTCTCAAGAAACAAAACCAAGCAAACAAAAAAAACCCACTTGTTTTTTGGTAGTGGGGATTGAACTCAGGACCTTGGAGGTTTTGAAAAACATCAAAAAAAGCTATGCATGGTGGCACACATCTATAATCACAGCACTCTGGGAGGCTGAGGCAGAAGGATCACAAGTTCCAGCCTAGCCTGGGGAAATCAGTGAGATTGCCTCAAAAAATAAGAAAAGGGCTGGGGGTGTACCTCATTGTGAATGTACAACCTGCAGCCCTGAGCTGAGTCCCAGTTCCACAAAAACAGAAAGCTAGACAGACAAAATAGATACCAAAACACTGAAGTTTGCATGGCAGAAAATATTCCTCTAATTTTGTCTCTCATAAACGTTACCTAGGTCTTCAGGAAAGGGAAAGAATACAAATAGGAGCAATTGAAAGCAAATGCAGATCCTTTAGATTAAATGTAAGATGAAATCTCTTAAATTATGCTTACATTTTGTTCTGACATGATTTTAGCATAGAACAAGAAGGCTACTTACCCTCACTGTTTGCTGGGTTTTCTCAGACAATTTTACTTCATTATCTTCTACCTGTGCCCAACAAAATAAATGCACGTGTTCACTTTGCACTTCAAGGCTGTGTTTTAGGCTGTTTTAGGACACTGAGCAGCACCCTAGCCACCCAGTGCGCTCAGGCAAGCACTTATTCTACTGAGCTATCTCCCCGGCCCACACCCAGTGCACTCAGGCCCCACCAAGCCGGCAGAGGCAGCTGCTGGTCATAGAATCAGAGCCCTATGTCACAGCAGGCTCTCTTGCTGGACCTATGATCCAGCCAATGAGGTTATGGCTGGTGGACAAAGTGTGGTAATCTACACTTACATACTGCTCCAGAGAAAAACAGCTATTTTTCAAGGATGAAGGAATGAGAACATATTAAAATATCTTTCAGCTAGTTGTGGTGGCCTACACCTGTAATCACAGCACTTGGGAGGCTGTTCTGAGTTCCTGGCCAGCCTAGATGACAGTGAGTTCAAGGCCAACCTGAACTACAGAGAGAGACCCTGTCTCAAGCCCCATCCCCAACTCCCACCAAAGATAGAGATCACACATGGACACAATATTACCTCTTGATTCTTTTTACTTCCCCTTCTCTTTCCCTGTTACCAACTTCTAAGCTTTGGTCTCATCTGTACTAAGAGGGTGTTAATTTCTTAAGTGCACAATTTAACAGGGACTCAGGTAATTTAGTTCTTTCTTTTGAAACTTTTCTAAGTCTATGAGAGAGAACCAAGATTCATTCATATGAAGAGAAAGGGTCAAGATAAAACTTCCATTCTTGAACAGCTAGCTCAGGATCTATATCCTCCAGGAACCCAGTGAAGAGGCTCCTCCTCAAGTGTCCCTCCCAGGTTCTCCCAGTTTGGGTTCCCTTTCACCTTTAAATCATACTGACCAGCCAGGAGCAGAATCTGGGTATGGCGGCCGTCAGGACTATGCAGCTGGTCTCTGTGGTAACAGTGCCATCTGTAGGAAGACCACAGACATGCTAGTCAGTTATTCACTATCTCCTCAGCCACTCAGACTGACAGTTCCCTCGTTTCCCTCTCAGGGGCAAGGGCTCTTCTGATTAGTATAAAGTCTGATGCCCTGATAAAATGAGAACATCCTCATCTTAGGACAGAGAGACTAATGAGTAGATGGAGAAAACTTCCTTTTGTGATTAACTTTTGAGTAATTTTCAGAACAAACATTTAAATGAATTCTATGAATTAGTCCTTTTGTCTTGTTTTTATCAAGGTGGTACATGTGTACACATATTAAAACTAAAGACTAATTATCAGGATCATTGTACCAGGGCTGAATATTATCATTCTATAACTGTTTTTTTTTTGTTTTTTTTTTTTTTTTGGCAGAACCAGGGATTGAACTCAGGCCCTTGTGCTTGCCAGGGAAGCGCTTATTCCACTGAGCCATCTCCCCGGCCCCTGTTTTTGTTTTTTGAGACAGGGTCTCGCTGGTCTTGAACTCTCAGCAGTCCTCTTGTCTTAGCCTTCCAAGTGCTGAGATTAAAGTGGTGTGCCACCATGCTCAGCTTTATAGCATATTCTGATAACATAATGAATAAAATACAGTAATAAGAATAATATCTCATTATTGTTTCAAATTTCTTCTGAACTGGGGACCACTGATGCTCCCTATCTTCATGTATACATGGACGTCCTGTTTTTTTCTTCTTGTGTTTCAACAGCCTGTTCATGTTTTTAGACCATTTTACCAATGGACTGCCTATTTCTCTCTTTTTTCCTCCCTAGTACTGGGGATTAAAGCTGTACATGCTAAGCAAACTCTACCTCTGTGCTATATCCTTAGCCCTGTATATCACTGGCTTATTGATCTGCAAGAACTCCTCATAAATTAGAGTATTTACTGGCTGTCTACTGTGTTTTGCTTTAATTTTGTCAAAATCAATACATGTGCAAGATTTGTAGCAATACAAAAAATTGTTTCCAAAAGATACACACTTACCCTTTTCTTTAACCAAGATCTGAGATGTCAAAAATGATTCTGAGAAGACTACAGATCCTAAGCACCCTCTTCCTCCCAGCAAGTCGGGAATGTCACAGACAGTCATACAAGCCTATAGCAAGTGAGAAACCAGTGTAAGACCTGAGATCCATGAAAAACGCTGCTTTAAAGCAAATGGTAGGAGAATACTGAAGAATTTCTGAGGAAAACTGGAAATGCTCTGAAATACAATCCTGAAGTGAGAGTTGGCTTTAGGAACACCCAGGTATTGCTGTAATTGCTCCTTGATCAGAGACACATGGTTAGAAGAGTATCTCTGTGTCTCCATAAATTCTTTCCAAGTGTTATCCCAAGAGGCAACGCAGCCTTAATTCTTAAGTATGACTGGCCCCAGGCCTATCAGAGCTGAGGTGTTTCTTCTAGGCTTCTGTACACATGTATACCTCAGCTCCTCGCCCCATTATCGTACTTTTATTTTTTTTTAAAAGACTTTTTCAAATCATTTATTTACTGTGTGTGTGTGTGTGTGTGTGTGTGTGTGTGTGTGGCCAGCTCAGCCCACCAGGGGGCGGGACTGGCTGGCATGTCGTGCTGGGGGATTGAACCGCGGTCCCCGTGCTTTGCTTAGCTTAGCTTGTTCTAAGTAGGTGCTTTAGACCACTGAGCCATCTCACCAGCCCCCATTATTGTACTTTTAATCTGAGTTCTGAACAAGCTTGGAAACTTGGTCATTCATTTAGTATAGACATTTTTCAGATACTTTACATACATGTCAACACCTGCTCCTTTATATATATAATAGTTTCCCCATGACTGGTAATACGGATGTCAACTTCAATGGATCAAGAAACACTTTGCAGATTAGTAAAGCACACTGCTGGCTGTGATCTGGGTGGGTCATGGAGGTGAGACCTTAGATACTATACATGGTCCCCTGAACATTTTTCTCTGGCACTGATCCCAACTGCAATGAACTAACCAGCTTTGCTCATCAAGCCATTCCACCATGATGTTTCTGATGACCATGGACTTTATTTCTTGAAACTGTGAGACGAATTAACCCTTCCTCTTTTAAATGGTGAGTGTTGGGCACTGTGCCCAGCAACATGAAAGCTAACTATTATAGAAAACTGGGCCTTTTTACCAAAATGGTGCCAAAGGCGAAGAATGAAGCACTTGCCCCTTTCAAAGCTGAAGCCAAAGCAAAAGCTTTGATGGCCAAGAAGGCCAGGCTGCAAGGCATCCACAGCCATAAAAAGAAGACGATACAAACATCACCCACTTTCTGCCATCCCAAGACACTGTGGCTCTGGAGGCAGCCCAAATACCCTCAGAAGAGCACCCCCAGGAGAAACAAGCTTGACCACTATGCCATCATCAAGTTCCTCCTGACCAGAGTCAGCCAAGAAAAAGATCGAGGACAACACCCTCCTGTTCATTGTGGATGTCAAAGCCAGTAAGTATCAAATCAAACAATCTGTAAAGCAGCTGTATGACATCAATGTTGTCAAAGTCAATACCCTAACCATGCCTGATGGAGAGAAGAAGGCATATGTTCAATTGGCTCCTGATTATGATGCATTGGATGTTGCCAACAAAACTGGGATCATGTAAACTGAGTCCAGCTGGCTAATTCTAAATATATACTTTTTTTCCCCAGTTAAAAAAAAAAAAGAAAGAAAGAGCTGGTATGTAATAGCTAGGTGTAGTAAAAAATTCCAGCACTCATAGGATGAGACAGGAGGATTACAATGAGTTCAAGGCCAGTGTGCATTATGTAGTTCAAGGCCAGACCAAATTGCATAGTGAGGCTGTCTTAAAAGCAAAATAAAGTGTCAGCGAGATAGCTCAGTGGACTAAGCACCTCCTTAGGCAAGCACAAGGACCAGGGTTTGATACCTGGCACCTCATGCTGTGCTGGCCCCACCCCTGGGCGTACTGCACCAGCCACTGAGACCGGGTGTGGTGGCACATGCCTGTAATCCAGTGTCGGGGGAGGCTGAAAACAGGAGGATCACTACAAGTCCAAGCTGCACAGTAGGACCCTGTACCAAATATATAAAACAAATAAACAAGAACAAAATACCCAAAACAAACTCCAACCCAACCCCTCCCCACAAAGAAAATTGTTATATAGAGTAGAAGTATTTAACCTTGTGATTTAGAAGCTTTAGGGGCTGGGGGCCTGGGAGTTAGCTCAGTGGTGTAAGTGCCTGCCTGGCAAGCGCAAGGTCCTGAGTTCGATCCCCTGTACCGAAAGGAAATAAAGAAGCAGCAGCTTCAGGGGCTGCTTTGCTGGAGGAGTTTGGAAGGGTTTGGAGATATGAGCTAGGGAAGCTTCAGAATGCAGTAAGCAGAGCCTCATGGATGATTCTGGTTGGAGCTCAGAAGACTAGAGGAATCCAGACAGTGAAAGTCAGGCTCAGAAAGTTTTCGTTGGGAATGAGGACTCCACTGGTACTTGGACTAGAGGCCGTGTGTGTGTGTGTGTGTGTGTGTGTGTGTGTGTGTGTGTGTGTGTGTATGTATGTTGGCAGAAAATTTGTTTACATTTTTGTCCACGTCCTGAGACCCTGCAGAGACAGATTAATAGTGATAAACTAATTACTCTGGTGGTGGACATTTTAAGATAGCCCAACCTTCCCATATTACTGACTGTTTTTATCAGTGAGAATTAGGGGTAAAAGACAAAGTAGAAAGTAGAAGATTTAAACTGCAGCCTTGAAGAAACCACATGTAAAGTTGGGGCCAAGGAGGTGCAGCTGCTAAGAAATTAGTCCCATTAAAAAGAAAGTGAGTAATGGTACAGGAAGGAAGATGCTTTGAAGACAGCTCAGGAACCATCAGGACCCCAATGATTGCAGGGTCACCTCCATTTTCTCCTACCATGAGCACCACTAAATAGTGCAGTGCTGAGTTTCTGAAGCAAAGTCTATTTTCACTTATTATCTCACACCCAAGGCAGAGATAAAATCTTGGTGCTTTTAAAGATATTAATGGATTCTCTAAATTAAAAAATAAAGAAGACAGATTGAAAAGGAAAAAAAACCCCAAAACAACAACATAGCTGAAGCCAAAGTCCTTGATTTCCCAAGATGTCATGATAATAGAATGTACAAAGAAGTCAGAAGTAGGCTTTCATGATTTAGTCAATTTTCCAATTAGGCATGATATGTGCAAGGTCTATCTAAATCTGTCTCAATAGATTTATTTATTTATTTTTGCTTTGTTTTGGTTTTTGGTGGACCCAGGGATTGAACTCAGGCACTTAGCTTCTACTGAGCTATTTCCCTGACCTTGTCTCAACAGATTTAGAAAGTCTGAAGACACAAATCCTCCTGGGGCTAGATGGCTCTTCTTAAATGACATGACAATTCTTCTTTAGTTTTCAGATTATTCAAGTAGACTCCAAGGGCTCTAGAAGGTGAGGTAAGAAGATCAATAAGCTACTTAGTGAGACCCTGCCTCAAAACCACAACCATCCCCCCCACCAAAAAAAAAAAAAACAAAACAAAAACACAACCAAACTGACACAATAAAACACGTAGGCTTTGCTGAATAGCATACTTTATAACATGTGGCATAGGGAGAAAAAAAAAATCATATGATGCCTGTCTTTAGAAATCTATAATATAAAGCCTAGGAGACAATAGCTTATAGAAAATTATCACATAACTCATTACTATAGAATTACTTCCTAATTTGTATAACATGAACTGCAAGGCATATAAAAATATGCTACTTTAGGAGGGTAGGACTTGGTCACAAAGCACCAACTTCCTGCCACTGCTTTCTAGTCCCTTGCTCCTTCCTCTCTGCCACTGTTCTCTGCTTTCCCACTGTCATGAAGTAAGCCGCTCTGTTCTGCCATGCCTTCCACTCTGATGTTTCTGCCTTGTGAAACAAAAAAATAAACCTCTCCCCCGTAAGTTCTGGATGTCAGGTATTTGTCTCAGTAACAAGAAAGCTAACTAATACCCAACCTCTGAAAACCATCCTTTATATTTTCCTTTAGTGATGAGGCAGTGCTGACAGGTTTTTTTTTTTTTTTTTTTTTTTTTTTTTTTTTGTGGGATTGGGGATTGAACTCAGGCCCTTGTGCTTGCCAGGCAGGCACTTATTCTACTGAGCTATCTCCCTGGCCCCCGACAGGAACTTTTGAGTTGCTTTTCCACTGGTGATGGTGGTAGGTATACATTTTCTACCCATTCAGGTCCCCATGTCCAAGGTCTACAGAAATTGAGGTTTAGGCAGATCACAGAATCAACTGAGGATATACTTCTACACACACACACACACTACAGGCAGAATGTGACTGGACATGCACCACCCTCATATACATTGCTTGTCATCCTTCACATATGCAGCAGTAAATGGAACATTTGGCTTGTGGCTATAACTAGTGTAAAATTCTGGTTCTAGGCCATGCATGCCATCCTACTCCAGAGGCCAAAAATCAGAGTATATCCCTACCCCATTCTACTGGCCTGTAGTAGATCAGATAGGAAAATTAAGGCTTAACTGGTCTCTTCTGTAAGCACCAGACAGGTGGTATGAGGGCATGCTGACATGCTGCAGGGAAAATTAATACAGCTGAGATCCTGTTATTTACTTGGATATGTACCATGGATGGTGGGAGACAGATGCCTTTAACTTACTGCTTGCACCTGTGCACAAATGAATAAAGTCAAGATATGCCAGTCATTCAAGGCTCTGCATCAAAAGAAGAAAAGAGCCGCTGGACCCCTAAATTTTAACCTAATTCTGTGTCTGTTTCATCTTTGTTGCCCCTTGGTCTAGTGCAAGCTCAAAGGCTGGCCCCCTACACTGGCCCAACAGTGTGGCAGCAGCTCATGGGTCAGAAAGCTCTGCTCTGACTATACTGCTTCATTGGAGACCTAGGTCTCTGTTAAGGGCATCAACACCTGTTAAGAGTTTCTGTCTATGTGTCTATGTTGTCACTCTCTTTTTTTTTTTTTTTGGTGGTACTGGAGATCAAACTCAGGACCTTGTGCTATGCCATTGAGTTCTCTCCCTGGTCCCTTGTCCTTCTGTCTCTCTTAAGGCAGGGTCTCGCTATTTAGTTGAAGGTGAAACATACTATATAGTCCA